TTAGCCACGTTCCTGCCTTCCAGCTCAGCTCGCGAGCCAAAAGTGCCACTGCAAAGCAAAAAAAAACTTGAGTGTTTTTTTTTTGTGCTAAGACAAAGGGAAAAAAGAAAAGCGTCATCTATAATCCATCTCAGCGAAACAGGCACAGTTGGTTGGTTGCGCTTTGCTTCGCAGTGTTGTTGACATTTAACAGACCGAGCATCCAACAGGAAGTCAGTCCTTATGATATACTGGAAAACAAATTGTCAGGAAATGCAATGTGCCAAATCGTTTTTTTCCCCCTTTCTTTCTGAAAGTTTTACAACAGTAGGAGACGAGGAAAAGTTTGAATTAGGAAAAGTGGATGAAAATATTAAGCTCACATCAAATGAAAAGCAGAGTGTGCATGAAACTGAAGCTCAGAGTTTGACTGTCAGCCTGTTATCGTTTGGTTATGTGTGGCGGAGCCACTGAAAGAGAAGGGAGGAAGACCAAGCCTCCTCTACACAAACAAATCATGGGCTAATACACTACAAGTCACAGGGGTCAGGAATTAAGCCGCTGGATTCTCCATGTCATCGACCTATCGCATTACCAAACATATGACTAAAGCACAAGGTTTTTCTCATTTTCCAAATTCCATGTTAAGCGCATTCTCTTTCTGATTTTGTTTGTAAAAACACTACTTCATTCAAGTAAAATAATAATTATATTAATAAACTAATAAATAAAGTATTAAATAAGTTTACAATACAAAAACTTAAAAATAAAAAATAAAAAAAGACAGTATGCACCGTGTATTTATTATTTAATGCAACAATTTCCAGAGATTTATATTAAACGTGATCATTTATGTAAGAACGGATTTAGGATTATTTGAAAATTTGAGTATGGTTTCTCCAGAAAATCCAACAATCTATACAATACAAGAATAGCTTTGTGGAAATATACACATCTTTGTGGGTTTTAGTTTGGATGGAATTTTCCTTTTATTTTAGATCATGGAAATAAGTTTATACGTTCTTTCACCTTATAAGTATTTGCACTGATTTGCATTATTGTGTGATCATTTTATATATTTATTTCAATTCATATAGATTTTTTTTATTTGCTATATGCAACAATTTCTATAAAAACATTTTTATGAATGATTTGCGCTAGATGCAGCAATTTATGCAATATATACACTTTTTTTTTTTTTTTTTTTTTAGAAAATGATTCTGTTCATCAAGGCGGCATTTATTAAATGTAAAAATAAGTTAAATACAATAATTTTTTTAACCTTTTTTTTAAATAAATGCTTTCTTATTGTATGTAGTTTAAAATGAAATTATTACTCTAGTCATTACTGCTTTTCTTACTATTACCATTAATAATAATAATAATAATAATAATAAAAATAAATAATAATAATAATAATAATAATAATAATAATAATAATAATAATAAAGTGATTTCTGAAGGATCTTGTGACTGAAGACTGGAGTAATAAAATCACTGGAATAAATTATTAATTTAAATTACTTACAATTAAATTAAATAAACTACTTTTGAACAGTTATTTTAGAGTGCAATAACATTTCTATATTTATACTGTGTTTTTGATCAAATAAATGCATCCATGGTGAGCAGGAGAAGCTTATTTCAAAACATTTAAAAGCCCACTGACCACAAACTTTTGACCGATAGTGACCGTTTTTTTCTCAATTTAGTTTTTATCGCAGTTTCCAAATGTTTTTACAGATGTATGCTATAAAGGGTTTTTCACAATAGGTGCTCAAAACAACCAAACATCGGAATCCAGAAATGGTAGAAATGAAAGAATTGATAAAATACAAAATAAATATTCCTAAATAAATATGGAAATTACATTAATTAATCAAGGACAATAAGAACAATCAAAACAATGCACTCATAATTGTTTTGTATATTGTCAAAAAGAAAACCGATAAAACTGATTTGTTGCTTTTCAATTCATGCAATATTTTAAATTGAAGTATTAAATATTTATTTTTTAAATGTACATTAAATTTTTACATAAAATATAACCGGTAAATAAACCATTTTATGAATGGTTCACATTGAAATGTGCTTTTAATAGCTAATTTATGCAAGCTTTTTTTTTAGAATGATGTACGCATAATGCTGCAATTTATGCAAAAAATGGTTTCATGAAAAAGTGTGTTTACAGTTTAAATGTTTTGTTTTTAAATAAACAAATTAGAAATTAGCTTTAAATGCAGCCTTTATTGTAATTACAAGCGGATTACACTTAGAAGTGAAATAAGAACTTTTAAACAACAATAATGCAACAATTGTTGTTGTGGTCATTATTCTTAAAACACTTCAGTACAACAAATTCGTCCAAATGACTGATAATGTAAATTGTGTTTATTGTGAAACTTTAGTGAAGTTTACATATGCTGTATATATAGGGCTGAACAAAATGTCATTTGAGCATCGATATCGCAATGCGTTTATCTCCAATAGTCACATCTCAGGATTAGAATATTTATTCAAAGAATTTTTTTTTTATAAATTTGAATAAAGATTAAAAGATGTATATATATAATTTTTAAAAAAAATAATTTTCTTATTATTTGTACATTTAGCTATTTTGGAAATGCACATAAACAACAGGAAAGGAAACGCCATGATGTACATTAATTTTAAAAATGCGCAAAAAAAAAAGACGTATGCACATAAATAAGTAACATAAATGTATTGTTCGGTAAGAAATAATGCGCATAGACTACGATGGAAACACTTACCGAACAAATTCCAGTCTGCGCATTAAAAAAAGTCATATGATTTTGTTAAAAGAGATCATGTGATGATAAAAATATGAATAGACAAACCAGCAGGCGGCTGAGTACATTGTAAATATCTAAAATGTTGTTTTGGTCATTCTAAAACGCCGTAACCATTTCAGTATTTGTGTTATTATATTATTTATTACCTCCAGAAATGTCAAGAGCATTTACAGTATGCTCCTCGTGTCATCCCTTTAAACTCCACCATGCATTCATTGCTTGTTAGGATTTGTCTTCTGAGGCGCAAGTAATTTATTAAATAATGAAAAGATTCACGTAGCTTCTCCTACTGCAACAAATTTCGTTTTTACTTGCTGATATTTGCTGCAGTTTATCAGGAAGTGACAATTTTTTTTCTTTGACTCGTTGAATGGAAACGCTGCTTTATTCGAACGTCTTTTATGCAATATTCCTGTTTTGCGCATAAATTTAATTCAAAAGTTTGAATGGAAACATAGCTAATGATGATTATGTAATTTTACATCTGATTCTTCAATTTCTTCACAAATTTTGTTATAATTTTCTGCTCTGTTTATTTATTTTTGCTTATAATTTATTATAATTTATGCAGATGCACTCAAAAGAAAAAGACTTCATCATCTCAATCACTCTAAATAAATGAAATATTTACGAATAGACCAATTTCATATCGTTATGGATATCGCAGAAAAACTAAATATCGCAATGTTAAATACACATACACACGTATATATATACATACAGTTGAATATATATACATACAGTTGAATATATATACATACAGTTGAATATATATACATACAGTTGAATATATATACATACAGTTGAATATATATACATACAGTTGAATATATATACATACAGTTGAATTTTTTTTTTCTTCTGGAGAAAGTCTTATTTGTTTGGTTTCAGCTAGAATTAAGGCAGTTTTATTTTTTTAAGAACCATTTTCAGTTCAAAATTATCAGCCCCTTTAAGTTATATATTTTTTTTTCGACAGAATAAACCATCGTCGTACAACAGTTTGCCTAATTACCCTAAACTGCCTAGTTAACCTACAGTAATTGCCCGAGTTAAAACACCTTTAAATTTCACTTTAAGCTGTATAGAAGTGTCTTGAAAAATATCTTGTCAAATATTATTTACTGTCATCATGGCAAAAGTAAAATAAATCAGTTATTAGAAATGAGTTATTAAAACTATTATGTTTAGAAATGTTTTGAAAAAAAAAATCTCTCTGTTAAACAGAAATTGGGAAACAAATAAACATAGGGGTGAATAATTCTGACTTTAACTATATATATATTTTTCTGTTGGTTATACAAACAATATAAATACACTTTTGGTGCAAGATTATTTTGACTAGTGTTTCAACCATGAAACCATTACGTTTTAATCGTAACGCTATTTATTAGTTTATTATTTTTCATAATGTTACAAATCCCTCCCCCTTCCAAACTGTCCTACTCCAGTACGCATAAATGAGTTCTGTGAGCGAGTAAGCATGATTGGCTTGACTTTTGGCGTTCGGTTCCGCGTGAGGCGGCGTTGACTGACGAGGAAGGACAAGAGCGATGAAGGTTTATGGCGAGGGTAAATGAAGTGTTTCCTCAGGCTGTGTTACTGACCATGCGTGTGAGCATCCAGGCCTCTCGTGACAGCGGCTCACACACCCCCGCACACACACATATGTACAAACACACACAGCTTGGGCCACAAAGCTAATCTGGGAACTTGCTTACAAGGAAAGGGCAATCTAAATATGTGCCTAAGCGTTGGTTGTCAGGCTAACATTTGAACAGCAGCAGCATCGCTCTTCTGCAGCAAGTTTGAGAGGGTAAATTGCACTCTTGTCATAAAAGCTCGTAAAAGCTCAGCGTTATAATCCCGAGGCCTGTTTTGTGGCAAAGCTTCTCTCCAATGGCTTCTTAAAGTCGCCCCGCTCTGAGCATGGACCTTTGGTTAATTACCAACAGCCAATGTTCGCCATAAATCATCCCCAGAATAATAAGCGTCTGCCGCAGCCTAGCTTACCGTCTCTTAACCTCAGGATCGCTCGTTAAATGTGTGTCAGTCGGATATATTTCTCTTCCGTCGACTGCTGTAGGAATACTTTACGCCGGGTGCTTTAAATCACTCAATCGTTTTGCAGTTTGCGCTCTTTTCCTCTTTTTTCTCTTGCATGTTTGTGTTTCATATTTGGTCTCATTTTCTTTGTTGTCCTCACAGGAAGATGACTTGAATGACATGCTGGAAACACTGCACAACCACCCCGTGCCAAAGCCGAATACGCCAGTAAATCTGAGTGTGGTAGGTACTGTGGAGAGCTGAGGGCTTGTTTAGAAACACAAGTGGGAGCGCTGGCCTCTCGCTCTGATAACAGACGTCTGCACTGTGTTCAACAGAACGGCCACTTTTGCAACTCCTCAAACCCTGCAGTAAGGATAGGTTAACGCTGCCTTAAACTACCGCCAGTCACTCACAGGCCATACATTCGTATATCTGACTAGCGTTCTACAGTATCTTTCTGTCTGTCATCCTGTCTTCCTGTCTATATATTTGTCTATTATTCAGTTTGGTCTGTCTATCTTTCTGTGTGCAGTAACTATTGTTTTGTGTGTTGTTCCCTGTCTGTCTGTTGTTTATCATTCTGTCATTCTATCTGTTGTTCAGTCTTGTCTGTAGATAGATTGTTTCTATCTATCTATCTATCTATCTATCTATCTATCTATCTATCTATCTATCTATCTATCTATCTATCTATCTATCTATCTATCTATCTATCTATCTATCTATCTATCTATCTATCTATCTATCTATCTATCTATCTATCTATCTATCTATCTATCTCCCCCTCCCTCCCTCCCTCCATCCATCCATCCATCCATAAACTTTTCTTTCTTTCTTTCTTTCTTTCTTTCTTTCTTTCTTTCTTTCTTTCTTTCTTTCTTTCTTTCTTTCTTATTTTTTCCCATTTTTTCTTTCTTTCTTTGTATATCCATCCATCCATCCATCCATCCATCCATCCATCCATCCATCCTTCCATCTATAACCGTCTGTCTGTTTTCTTTCTTTCTTTCTTTCTTTCTTTCTTTCTTTCTTTCTTTCTTTCTTTCTTTCTTTCTTTCTTTCTTTCTTTCTTTCAGTGGTTCTGAAAACAGTGAAATATGTAAAAAATTATCAGCTTCACAAGCGAGTTACAGTCACATGATCTTGAATCGGGTCCAACGAATTACATTTTTTTTGTGTGATTTGCCAATTTAAAATATCCACCAATCCATCTATCCCTCCGTCCCTTCATCCCCCCCTCGTTCCATTCATTTTTGTCAGTTTGTTGCAACCTGTCATTTTTTTTTTGCAGTCTCTGTCTATGTATGTGCATGTCTGTCTGATCTCTCTATCTAATCCATCCATATTCTTTCCTATATTTTTGCAAGAGCAACCACTTACATTTTGCCAATGGGCAAGTAGTGCAGCATCCAGGAAGCAGACAGTTGGTGAGTGAAGAGTGAGTGTGCTGAAGGGAGAGGGATAAAAAGAAAGAGAACGAGAGAGAGAATGGGTCAGTTCTGAAATTTGGAGCCGTTGCCCTAATCACATGGGAGACTGTTTTCCAATTTTGCCAAATAAACTAACTCTTTTCTTTTTTCAAATATGGCAATCACCCATCCTGGGTCTTGTTGTCATGTTTTTTTCCCTTTTCTTTTCTGGAAAACAATCAAACCTGCTAAATGATTTATGCTCTTCCACACTGCTGTATTCTCTTTTCAGATATCAAATGTTTCTTTTTTGACGTTAAAGCAGAAGGCAGTTATGCTCAAGAAATCTCCTTGATGATCTGCCTATTAACCTACATTCATCTTTTTATTTAAATGTGTGGATAAATAAATTAAACACAGCACCCTTGAATATCTGCTCAAGAGCTTTGAATAAACTGTGTTTCTTTTAATATCATGTTCAATCTGTAATTCTAGAATGCTTATTATTGGATTTTTTTTATCATGTTATTTTTTAATTCACTTGCTTTCAAGTGAGATTAACCAACAGTGCAGTAATTATTGCTTAAGCAATGTGAACACCATGTGTTCTTCAACCAACAGTATATTTTCTACCTCTTAACCAGACCCCCTAGTTTTTAAGGATTCCGCAATAACTGAATCCTATGAAAATTTTACAAAAAGTTGCAAATTTTTTTGTAATTTAACGCAAAATAATAATAAAAAATTAAATAATCTTATAAATCATCCAATTCCAAACCGTATAATCAAATTAGATTTATTTCAGTTTGCAATGAATTTTTTTGCATGACTTTTAGACGTTGCATACGCAGCTCACATGATGTATTTGAGTGTCTCTCAAAAAATGACATTTCACCTCAAGTTCAGCCATCGAAATAGTTAATTTCTAAGAATTACCATCACAAAATCAGTAATATTTATCACAAAAAATCCCAAAACAAATTGTGGAAAAACTAGGGTCTGCTTAACATACACATCACAGCAGCAATGTTCAGTATACAGTATGTCGTCAAATATATGTACTGTATATGGAAAGTTGATTAATAGACAGTAAAACACAATTTTGAAGAAAAACTCATTTAATTTATGTAATTTGTAGTAAGGGATGTTTAAGAAAATTTAAGGCCTCACTAACTTCAATGCTTTCTGAAGAATTAAATTTTTTTACTGTATGTTCTATGGTTTGACAAAAAAAAAGAAAATTAGGCCTAACAATAGTATAATATCGAACAGCAATATACAAATAGCGTAAGAGGCATTTATGTTTGTTGTTAGACACTTATCTTCATCCTAATTTGATTTAAAATTATGAATAATCTTTTATTTTCCAATAATTGTTGGAAATTTTTAGGGTGGTCACATAAAGAACAACAAAACTTCACAGTTTTAAAGTGGTTATAAAAATGTGAAATATGTGAAAAATTGCATATAATATCACAGCATATGCCATTGTTCAGTTACAATATATATATATATATATATATATATATATATATATATATATATATATATATATATATATATATATATATATATATATATATATATATATATATATATATATATATATATATATATATATATATATATATATATATATATATATATATATATATATATATATATATATATATATATATATATATATATATATATATATATAAATATATATATATATATATATATATATATATATATATATATATATATATATATATATATATATATATATATATATATATATATATATATATATATATA